CAGAGTCTAAACACCTTAGGAGCAAGGACTGTTTTGCTTTTTGGAGATCTCCAGTACATACTCTGGACCTACACGAAGAGACACTCAATAATTGTTCAATTGTGCAGGAAGGGCTGAAGTGTATTATTTCAATTCACTCTCACTCGTTCTGCTCTCTCACACTGAGTGAGCCCCCGAGATCACAGATGAACAAAACTTATTTACACAACTCCTTTAGCTTCTTCATAATTCCACTTGGGTACAAATATAGCCATAGCAGTTGTTATTTACGTTCTAACTGGGTATATCTGTTATTGCTTTTATCAAATTATTTTCCAAAAAGCTTGCCAAGAAAGATTTTTATAGACCATGGTGGACTAAAGAAGGCCACATATTCTTTACCCTTCCTCCCATTGAAAGGGGAAATCTAATTCTTCTCCCCTTGAATGTGGGCTGGTCACAGTGGTGTTTTTGACCAATAGAATATAGAAGAAGTTACATTCTGGGGTTTCTGAGGCTCCATCATGCCTTCAAGTTTCCTCCTGAGCCCCTTGGAATACTCTAAGAACCTTGAGCTGTCATGTAAGAAGTCCACCTGTGGAGAGCCCACATAGAGGTGCTCTGACTGACAGACCTGGCTGAGACCCACCCTTCCAGTCATCTCTGCCATGGGACTAATATGTGAATGAATCCTTTTTGGATCCTCCAGACCACTTCATCTGAATACCCCTAGTGCCCTCTGTTGACACCATGTAGAACAGAGGAGTCGCCCAGCTAAGCCCTGCCTAATCCCACAAATTCATGCAATAACAATCAAATGGCTGTTGTTTTAAGCCACTGTTTTGGAGTTGTTTGTTACACGACAATAGGTAACTTGAGCATGGCCCCTTTCCCCCATTTCTGCTTGGTTGCTCAGCACCCGTATCGGCTGAGTCAAATTCCTGAGAAGGATTCCTTCTCCAAGTCCTTCAATTATGGGATAATTTACTTCCAGATCCCTTTTCCCTAACCCCAGTGAGGCATATTTTTATTCATTTCTCAGATAATAAACTCTCAGACTGACTTATTCTTTAAAATTGCCAACCTTTTCCAGCCTTATTTCCTTCAGTCCCACCATATGCCCACCCTGTTGTATCATTGTTATGGACTTCAGTAATCCCTGAATCTCCTTGCCCTCCTCCTCAGATAGCTCTATGGAATTATCCAGCAACCAAAGCGGCCATGCGTATTTGAACAGGCAGTTAAAAAAAATGTTGGAGACTCTACATCTCTGGAGGACTTTAGAATAGGGTAAGCAATAAGTAATCGATTGAATGGGTGGTTTAAATGTTCCTCATCCCAGGATGAGAGGGCCTGGATTAGACAATCTCTAGTGATTCCCTTCTGCCGGAAGATTGTCTATAATAGGCAATAGATAGATAGCCCTGAAACATGTGAGCTATTGGTTTCTTGATGGCATAATCTGATTGCAAATAAATAACGGCTTGAATCATGTTTTTGATATATATTTGAAGAATTTCATCTTTTGGGAACATGTTTTATTTTTTGGAAAGAATTGTAAATATGAGTTTCTTCCAACTATAATCAATGTTTATCACTATATTGATTTCCTTTCTGGTATTTTGTAGTCCATTGTAATTTTTCTTCTCCATGCACATTTCCAAACTTTATCTGCAACTTTCCACTTCCAGTGTATTTAATTGTTGCTTGAGCGTATTTTTATGTACCTCGTGTATGAAAGAAAGAGAGACAGAGAAATCTGCTTTACGTGTTTGCCTTGGTGACTAATCTGTGCACTTCAGAAATGAGCAAGCTTCATTTCCCAAAACGATGACAAGATGTCCGCTTAGAATGTGGGGAAGGTTTAAAATTCTGCTTGTCTCTTCCCTAGTCTTCCCCTCACACCAAGGAGGGAGAAGCAGCGCTGCCAGGAATAATAGTTTACTAGCATGTTATGTTGACCTTTAAAATGTGCCTAGTTACCCCAGTAAACAACTTTTGGCCAAAGCAATCAAGGCTGCCAACCATTCTGTATCCTCCACCAAATAAACAAAGAGTTCTCTGCTTGTGATGTGTTGAACAGCTAAAGGAGATCTGCGGGTTCATCCATATCCTAGAGCAGCAAACTCAGAACTAGGACATGGAGTGGGGTGAGGAAGACATGCTTTAGAATTCCCCACACTTGCATCATCTACCAGTTCTTTCCAATATAGCAAAATTTGACTGCTGTAACTGAGAGGCCCAATAGCTATAAAGGTCTTACTTTCAAGTCTAATTTGAGGTGGGGTTGGAATCAGTTGGAACAGACTCACAGAGGGATTCTTCACTCTATCATTGTTATCAGAGGGCAAGGCAATGCTATGTAGAGTCTAAGAGTCAGAGGCAGTCACCTAAGGAGAGCAGCCATGCAATGCAGTGCGTAGCTCAAAACAGCAGAAAAGTCCCAAGACTTGTGAAGGGGAAGGAGAAACAAAGGCTGCACCTTCAGAGGAGAGTATGCCCACAGGTGAAGACGCCATGTTAGACGGAAGAGCTGCAAGGCACACACAGAAGCCTGGAGCCAGACAGTGATGCCTTCCCTGCCTCTCTGCTTAAATACTGTGTGACATCGGGCAAGCTATTAATCCCTCTGTGCCTCAGTTTCCTCCTCTCTGTAAAAATAATAACTCCTAAGATTATTGTGATAGATTAAATGCATTTATTTTTGCAGTTCTTAGAATACAGAAAGTACTAAGCGTTAATCTTCATTATATCTATTATTATAGATTTCTTGAGTCTTCTCTGCTGCTTATATTGTTTTATTCTTTCTGTATGTTTTATAGATATTGCATTATTTAGCTGATAATATTACTTTATCAACCAAGATAACTCTAAAGCTAGATGCTAAAATTAATTGAATTCTTTTATTTTAACTGAGAGAGAAGCCGCCTGACAAGTTAGTTTTCTCTGCGTGCTTAATAAGAATAGCAATAGCTGAAACCATAAAGGGGAAACGGAGCCAACAGGAAGCTGAAATAAACTTTCTAAAGGATATTTTGCTCTTTCAACCTTCTACACAGTAGAACAAGTAAAACTTTAGATGCATAGTTCCTGTAACATTGGTAGGGACTCTTTAAGATCAGAAGGAAAATGATTCTTTTCTCCAGAATGCTTAAAAAATAGTAGCAGCTTCTTTTCCAGTTAAACTGTCAGCATCATGAGAGCAGGGGCTGTATCGATCATATTCACCCTGTATAAGGCCTAAGACTGAACAGACAGTTGTTGGATGAAATTTTCTTTTCAGTCAATATTTATTGATGGTCTATTATATGGTATACTATACACATCAGATTGATGTTCTGTCTAGTATACTGAGGCACAGTGCTCAACAGTGAAGAAGAAAACCAATGCCTATTCCCTCATGAAGCTTATATTCTAGTGGGGAAAATGGATAATAAACAAACAAGCAAATAATAGATAGGTAGATGATAAACAGAAAGATACTTAATGTAATGTCAGATGGTAATGATTGCTGTGAAGAAAAATACAGCAGGGCTAGTAGGGAGAGGGTGATGGAAGCTGCTGTGTTAGATTAGTGATCAGAGATGACCTCTCTGAGATGATTGTTCATAAAGACCTAACTGAATCCAGGGAGTGAGACGACGTACCTGCGGAAGAGTGTTCCTGGTGGAGGCAATGGCAAATACAACAACCCTGAGGAGTAGTGATGCTGCGATGGAATGAGCCAAGGGGGGCACAGTTTGGAGAACAGGATGGGGGTTGTTAGGGACCAGACCACGTAGGGCTGTGTGGGCCATGGGGAGGACTTCAGATTTTATTCCACATGAAATGAAGAGTCACTGGTGAGCATTGAGCAGAGGAGTGAAATGGTCAGACTTATTTGCAAAGGTTCACACTGTGCTTGTGTGAATCATCCACTTCTCGAGCAATGGATGGATGAATGGCAGAGGCAGAGAGGGGATCCCGAACAACACTGTCAAACATCTGGTTGCATTAATACCCATGTGGCCAGGTTCTTCTCTGAGTCAGAGGAGCAGAAACAGAAGGAGGTAGACTTTTCTGAGAAACTTGCTAACTCTCTTCCTAAGTTGTGTGGACCTTGGAGTTTATCATTTTCTTCCAGTTTTCATACAGTGATTTAGGTGTCTTTCTTGAATTTACTGCTAGGATAGCATATCCTATCATAAAACATTATCATATTCTTCAGTTCACCTAGCAAAGAACCATTTCCATGTCATTTAAGTAAAGTTACAAGTTGGATCACAGATCTCTAACCATGAAGAAAAAGTTAAAATCTATTTACGTTAAATGCTACAGTGGCATAAAAGCTATTATCTAGTAATTAATCGATCTCCTGCTAAAAAATTTGCAAAAATTGCTTAACTAAGAGGCAAAAGAATGAAGATGAGGGAAGAAACTTGACTGTGGTTAACATTAAAGAGACTGAGATTGCCCTCCCCGTGACTCACTGGGTTCTTAAATGCTCCATAGGACTGTGCAATATATGCTGGGCCCTAAATTAAGTAGTGAAGGAAACTGACATAGCAGGCTTCCATGAATTATTCCTTCAAGTCTGGGTCTATTTGTGAACAAGCTGCAGCCTGGAACAGAAGGATTTATCCAAGTGCCTTAAATCATAGTTATTTTTTAATTTGAATGCATCTTGGTACAGTAGGAAAACACAATTTGAATATTAACTTATGTGACCCTATATAAATCACTAACCTCAGTTTCTCCATCTGTAAGATGGGAATAATACTACTTTTCCTGCCTACCTCATCGCATATGTGCTGGAGACTGTCTTTGCATCAGGCGCTTTGTTAGCCTCTGGGGATATCAAGGAGAATAATACTGATCCTTGCCCTTAGGAGCTCATGACTCTGTTGAGAAGAAGGTAAGTCCACCAGATTACTCTGTAGGCTATCGAAGTCAGCAGAAGTTTCTCTGAGAGGGTAAGGAGGTGGCCAGGGATAGGAGTAAAAAGGTTTAGAAATGAAGTGACATTTGAGGTGATTGTTCAAAGCGGGGAGAAGAGAGGTTAGAAATAAGTGTAACAAAGACATCCTCAACACGTAAGCAAGAAACAAAACGAAGCACGAAGAGTTCTGTGATAGGATCAACATAGGAGTGTGTGTGTGAGAGAGGGAGAGAATGAGATATTGAGAAGGGACTAGAATTGGTTTTGTCTGTGCATGCCTAAAGACCTAAAATAGCAGAGGCTTAAACCAGATGGAGGTTGATTTCTTTCTCATATAAAAGTTGTAATTAAGGCCCTGGACTAGTATGGCACTTCACAGTGTCAGCGAGACACGTTTCTTCCACCTTGTCTGCCACATGTGGCCTCTTTGTCAAATTCCCCTTCTGGTCCAAGATGGCTGCTCCAACTCCAACTGTGAAAGCCACATTCTGGAGGGCAGGAAGGAACAAAGGAAAGAAGTCACTCTTCCTAATCCTTGTGGTAGTTTCATATACCAACTATACTTATGTTCTGGGACCATGTCTGGTTGGAAAGATGACCTAGAAATATAGTCTTAATTCTAGGCAGCCGTGTGTCCAGATAAACGTGGTTATTGCTATGACTAAAGCAAGAAAGGATGATCACTGGGGGACGCTACAGGTCTCTGACAGTCTTTGTGTGTGTGTGTGTGTGTGTGTGTGCAGGTGTATTTATGCCCGTGCAGCTGTGTGAGGCTGTGCACATGCCTAGGTGGCAAGGGGGTGGCAAGATCAAATGAGAAGATATATAAGAAGTTACTTTGCAAATGGATAAGGAACTCTAAAAAAGTAACAAATTATTCTAGGACAAATATACGTGTTGGTGGTTATATATTTAATATTTTTTTAAAAACCTAGCCTGAGTGTAAAACACATTGGCAGATATATGAAAACAAAATAGAATTGGTTACTTCCTCATTTATGTTCCCATAGCACTTCACAACAATATCATTGTATAACTTATTTTTCTTATTAATAGCTTATGCCTCTGTTTCTCTAGACCATAAATTCTCTAGACTATAATAACATTTTTGGTGAGGAGAAATTTATCCCCTTATCTGATGTTTCCTTCCATGTTGGGGGAAATCCGTCAGTGTAATACTTTTGGACTCCCTCTGCCCCTTGGGATAAGGTTGGGTGGGGAGATGAATGACTTAACTGAGGATTTGGGGTGAGGAAGTGGGCGTGCATAGCTATACCGCTTCCTCTCTCCTCTCTCTCTCTGGAAAGTCTCATCCCCAAAGACTGTATTCTGCTCTACTTCTTTCAACAAAAGTTTTAGAGTTTGGAAAATTGATTCAATTCAGGAGTATCAATACCTGGTACACAGACAGGGGACTATTGAGGAAAAAACAAAGGAGATTAAGTTTGGAGGAGAAGTATCTACACGGAGTGGCTGGAATAGATTGAGTTAGGCTTTGGGGAGGAGGCTAGACTCCTGGGAGTCTTACCCTGCAGGTTCCAGCAGGCTTTGGTGCTCTATCCAGTTGAAGGATAGTCTCTATTCCTTCTTTCATCCAACAAATTTTTACTTAGTGTCTACTAGCTGCCAAATATGGTTCTAGGCACTGGGAATGTGGCAGGCTCTGATGGAGCTTACATTGCAGCTGGAGAGAGAATCAGTAGGCAAATACATTTATCTTTTTTTGTATCGCAAAGTGCTATGTCAAGTGGGAATCAATGTTCTGGAGAAAAATAAAACAGGAAATGGGGATGGGTGAAGGCTTTCAATTTTAAACAGGGTGGTCAGGAAAGGCATCCTTGACAAGGTGACATTTGAATGAAGACTTGAAGGAGGCGAGGGAGTGAGCCATGTCAAAATCTGGGGTGACAACACGTGCGGGTTTAGTTGGTGTATGGCTCTGCCCAATTTGGAACCTTCTAGGATCGGTGGCCCCAGGAGTATCTGCAAAGAAGCAGTGTCTCCTGGGGATGGGAGGAGTCCTCACGCATACAGGGACAACATGTCCTGACAGTGGCATCTCTTTCTTCCAGGGAGAGACCCACACCCATGGTTAGCAGTGAAGCCCAGTGGTTAAGAGAGTAAACCCCTAAGGGATATTGTGGGAGGTAGAGGCCCTTATGCCCTACTCTCATATTTTAGTCTACTTCGAGGGGCATTGCTGAATGTGACATTCCCAGCCTTGTTCCAGCCCTTCACTCACCTCTGGGGAAGGAATGACTAGCCCGATTGGTGGATTTGGGTGTAGGAACAGGGTATACCTAGCTCTGCCCTTGTCTCCCTGTGTTCTCTTAGATTCTGGTGTGTGACTGTGTACTCTGGATTGCTCATGGCCATGTGGTAACCTTGCAGCTCACAGGGGAAGGCTGTGGTCCTCTGGAAGCCCCTGTGGCTGGGTGATAAATTTCCCTAAGCCTGGTGGTTGGCATTAATAAGTCCCCTTGTCTGTGTATATAGGACACAGTCTCTTCTAGCAGCTTTCTCAGGAAAAAAGGTGATAATTTGATCTTCATTTATTACTCCTTTGTCTTATTTCTCAATTGAGTCAGAATTGGGTGAGGAAGAGAAGTGCTATCTATTGGGAATCTTAAACCCAAATTCTGTGTGTGTGTGTGTATGTGCATGTGTATAGTCTGTAATCCATGTAATAAATAGTCAGTGAATGAATGGATGGGTGGGTGACAGTTGAGTTTGTGTTCTTATAATTGGCCTTGAGATCTTTTAAAGCACCATCGTCTAGGGAAAAATGTCATTTAGAGGAGTGGACACAGCTCACTATAGAAGATACATTAAAAAAAGAGACCACAGGGAGGGATGGTTGTATAGAACCAGATTTTTACATTTTAGTGGGTGAAATTTTTTATTCACTGACACACTCATCCTGTGGCACTGAAATTTGACAGGGCGGCTCCTTTAATTGAAGTTGCTGTAGATATGGGCTTTTACGTACCTGCCCAGAGTCCCGCAGTGGGGAAATCACACCCTTGGTCTTGATATCTTTGAAAGCTTCACTCAGTCTGTCAGACCTGTGTTCTTCAAAGTCCCTGAACAAGTATAATAAAGATGGTCACTATTCCTTTTTGACACCATCACCTAGAACTTGGCTTGTCCTAAAACTGGAGATGAGGCTTTGCTTTGTCCTTGGGGGGAAGAAAGGAATGAAGGAAGCTGATGTTATAAAAAAGGTGGCATTCTCTAAGCTTGATAATGATGGGAACAGTTGAGAACCTCCAGGGTTTTGAGAGACTGCTGAACAGTCTGAATATCTGAAAAGACGTGCTACAGAAAAGATCATTGAGGTGCCATATTCATCTGTTACCATAACACCATCTCTGTGCTTTCTTGGTTTTAGGTTGTTTCGTGATTATGTAAAAAAAAATGTTTTCCCTTTCTATGTACTTATGGATGAGCCTAAGGCCTTGGACAATAATGAGAAAGTCAAATTATGAGGAACAAACAGGAATTGGGGGGGAGTTTGCTTTTCTTTTGTATTTGCTGAGCATTAGAATTATGCTTCTGTTTTTAAGTAGAAATTGCAGCCTAAAGAGATACCATAATCCTCATTTTGGTTCTTTTGGGTGGTTGAATTTGGGTGTAATGGGATTTGCTTATATTCAACTGGCTGATACATGTGACACCGTAAAGCAGCCTGGAGCTTTCTTGTGTAAACAAAAGACCAGAGAAATTAGCATTAGGACGAACTACATTTATAAAACGCTGTTAGCTTTTGAGGTAGATTTAGATTCTTTTGTCTAGATTGTAAAAATCCTCCGCTTCTGTCTCTTTTCTGCTCTTTTATCTGCTGAATTCAGTGCTATAAACACAAAAGCGTTCAATAAATATAACTCAACGATGACAGACTTGGATATAAAAGCAAAACAGTGCTCAAAATTGCTAAAGTAAGTTGGTTATAGTTGGTTTTTTTTTAAAGGCCATGGAGGTATAATTTGGTAGAATTTCAAGCCTCCCTTAAATGATGACAAAAGGTAGCCAGTGCTGTCTCCAAAAGGCTCCTGGGGTCTAAAATAAAGATGAATTAGGAGAAGAGGTCCAGGAGCCTTAGCAAAGAGCTTTGCCATGGTAAGATGTAGGGTAGCATAATTCTTAAAATTCCCCATGACGAATCATATCCATTGATAAGCTTTCCTACACTTCTCAGAAAGGGCACAAGTAGACCTGTGTTAAATTGCTGTGTGAAATAATGTATTACCCTGTCACATCTGGCACATTCTAACTGACTTAGTGGGCTTTACCAACGTCCCTTCTCTGAGAGTGCATCTCGGATGCTTTATGAGTGACGGCTGAGCTCTGAGACTCATCACAACCTTTCTTATGTAGAGTCGGTAATCCATAAAACTACCGTCCCTTTAAAAGATGGCAAAGTTTGAACAGATTTGTGAGAAAGAGGACCTTTGCTTTTAAACTGTGAAATCATATTAATGTGAGTCGGGAGAGAGTTGGACGAGAAATCATCCTGAAATATTACTATCTCAATCTTTTTGAAGACTAAAAATCAGGAACAATTATAGCTAATACATTCTTCAGGGATTCTTTATTTTCACAGACATTTGGCTTCAACTAAGGAAGAACTCAGAGTTTTTCAAGGTTGCGCTTAGGGATTGCTTGACTGTTCCTTCAAAAGATGTGAGGTTGGTTTATTGGCAGTTTATAGCTGGATTTTCATAGCAAGCATAAAATAGTTGAAGCAGCAAATGATTTGTGAGGGTGTGTGATGGGTGGGGGTAGGGAGGTGCATATCGCTCTCCCTAACAATCTGCAAATCCACTGCCAGTACAAAACCACTTCTTTGTGTGTGAGATGACCATATATACCTTTTATTTTTAATATTTTTAGATTCTGGCCTTCTTTAACGATTTACTTTTACCTCCAATCAGAGTGTTTCTTGCAATTCCTCTATCCTTAGATGTGCTTTGTAGACCAACTGAGAGTGAGAACAAAATGAGTAAATGGCTCAATTGCAAACTGTTCATCAGCCTCCCTTTTTTGTTGTTGTTTTTAATTTCACTTCTTAAATTCTTTCCAGGTTGTCAAGAGGCGTTTTAACATCTGGAGAGCAGGGCTGGGTCCATGATGTGCTTTAGCTGCTCTCATTACTTTTCATGATAATGCCTCTTTGTTCATCAAACCCCATCATATTCATGCAGATTTGTGCTAATGATTATTTCCTATGCAAATATTTCAATTTAGTATTTATAATAGAAGAAGCACTGACCAGCAGACCTGAAACTGAAGCTTAGCTCAGCTCCTAACTGTGAGACCTCATATATTGTACCTAATCTCCCTGGGACATAGTTTCACCTCTGTAGAATGGAGGTCTTAATAACTATCTCACAGAGCTGTGGTGAAAATTCAGCAGATGAAAAGCTTTATAGACTTTGAAGTACCATACAGGTGTTCAGTCTGTAGCAGAGAATGCTATCTGTCCACCCAAATCCAGTCTCTTCTTCTTCTTAGTATTGGAGTTCTGTCTGGATCCAGCCTGCAACTGCATTTCCAGCCTCCCTTGCAGCTAGGTATGGCCATGTGTTTAAGCTCTTGCCAGAGAAATGAAGGAGGGAGACATGTGTATCATCTTGGCTTCATTTACCTTGCAGGATATCGCTGGCCCTGGACTTCCACTTGTCCCCTTTCTGATGGGCTGGAAAGGCTATTAGCAGAGTGACCTTGGAGACCAAGTATCATTACACTAGTTCCCTGAATCAGAGAATGGGGCAGAACTGTCAGCTGATCTATAACACATGTCTTGGACAATTGTGTGAAAGAGAAATTAATTCTGTTTTGTTTGAGCCTCCTTTGTCCTTTTGGATCTATTTGTAACAGAGATTTAGCCTACCGTAACTAATTCTGGCATTATTTTGATAGAGATTCACAGAGTTGATATGAATCAACTCTTGTTGATTCATGTTGATAGAGATTCATAGAGTAATAGATCTGGAAGGAGTCAGAGAGGTCATCTGGCAAATAAAAATAATGCTTGGAGAAGAAACCGTTTTTACTTGATCATGAAACAAATTAGTTTCAGAACTGGAATAAAGTCCAGTTCATTATACAGCTTTGCCTCTTTCTAGAGTGAGTAATAAACATATGGAATTAATACCTAAGAGATGGTACACACAGAACATATGAATAGATTCAGACAGTTCCTGTGTAAGCTTTTCATAACCCCTCTAGAAATGGCAAGTTAGAGAAGTGGCATTTTACCTAATATTTTACACTGAGGTCAGGGTGGATAACCAGGCCATCTCAGAACGCAGACTCTGGAGTTTCTTTTATCAACAGTCTCCCAGCCAGGGTCCATGTGTCACATAAAGAATGGCAACCCCTTTTGCTTTTGTGTGAACACTGCCTCGGGGAAAAATGGTCAACCTAGCAGTGGTACTGGGTACGTTTTAGCCACAGCTGCTGAGAGCTTCTATCCTCAAAACGATTGATCTAAAATGGCCTCTCAAAAAACCCAACAAGAGAGACGAGATTATGTTTTTAGCATTTGAACCAGAACACACTCACTCTGCTTTAAAAGGTCTTATGGGACTGAAAAAGCCCAAGGAAACAGAAGTTGCTGTTCTCATTAAAGAAGAGAGGTATTTTTATGCATTGTTTTTATTCACATCAGTTAATTTAACATGCCTTGAAGGGGACTCTTCCGGGGTAGCAGTATTAAAGTAGCAGCTTACTCACTGATAAACAAACATCAGTCAACTTGACTTACCAAAGTTTGTGTACAGATAAAAAGTAAAGAATTACCTTCTACTTGATAGATGGGATGAATCCTAAAGGTCTCTTTGGACCTTGTGACAATACGCCATGCAAAACACTTAGAATTAAATCCAAACTCCTTAGATATGACTTGTACATCTCTCCATGATGTAGTCCATACCCACCTCTTGCCCTCATCTCAAGACCCTCCATCCTTGGCTCACTACTGGGAGGCCCTGCTTGGTCTTTCTGTTCTACCACCATAACCTCTTTAATGTGCCACAATGTTCTGTACATGCTATTAATATGGCTAGCTGCTTCTCCTTTTCTTGGGTCTTAATGTAAAAATACCTCCTTAGAGATGTCTTTCCTGACCACCCTCCAAAAGGAAGATCCTACCACTTTATTTTTCCTTCAGTTTAGCTTATTTCCTTCAAAGCACTTACAGAAATTGACTTTTATTTATTTGTCTGCTTATTTATTTTCTGCTAGGCATTAAATCTCCCCCACTGGACAGTGACTTAATTGGCTACTGACCTGTTTTGACCATAAAAAGGGCAAAGTTCAATCCAGGGATAGTCTGAGACTCCATGTTGAGGCCGAGCTAGAGCTCAGGTAGGGAGAAATGGAAACCTAGAGACTGGGCATGAAGAGAGGGATTAGTGACCTGATAGAGTTTCCTTGGGATGCAGGCAGGCTGGGGTGGACCTCTAAATGGAGAGCAATCTCATATGGGAAGTTGGACAAGAAGACCAAGAAGGTCAAGCACCTGAGAAGAAGCCAACAGAGCAGAAGCTAAGGCAGAGAAAGAGGCAAAGTCTCAGACAGACTAACTGAGACTCACATCCATGTCCAGCTCTTCAATAGAACATATCAGCACTTCCCTGGATAGCCAGCCCAGGACCATGATCAATATCTCTAAGGACCTAGATGACTGGGTCTTGGGGTCTTGGTCCCCTGGGCCAGTGACTTTACCTCCTTCTGAAGGCAATGCTATTTGTCCTTGCGTCAGACAATTGGAGGGTGATGCTTTCTTCTGTCTGGTGTCACCCCTGACCAATTCTTAACTCTATGCACACATCCCAGCAATAGGATGTTTTCCCCCAGCTCTGAGAGCTGACTTCTCTGATCGCAGTATTGCACCTTTGGTCTAGAAGCAGTTTATAAATCTTGAGCTTCTCTTTACCTTCCCCAAATTCTGACCCCCCAATGCCCCTCTCATACATCAAAACCCTGTTCAAGTTCTGCTTCTTTTAACAAAACTCACCTTTGGCTTCTTGGAGAGGAACCCAAGAATCCCCTTGGTTTGTGGACTGCCCTCAAGTGCAGATGATTCTCTTTAGACTCTGACTTTCTGTTGTTATAGTAACAGCAGATGTGCCTTCTGGAATGTTGTGTTTCCTGGGAACACTGTTGCGAGGATCATAAGAGAGGCTTACTTGGTCCCAACTCTATTTCAGACTAAAAAAAAAAATCCCACACCTGCAACTGTATTTGTTTTCTTGCAATATAAAAGCCAGGAGAAATTGACAGGGTAATAGAACCAAATCTTTGCAAGAAGGAGGACATGTAACATGATGAAATCTGATATCTAGCATGTTCTACTTTACTGAAGAAAACAGCGGTAATAATTGACCTGTACTGTGATTATCAGCATAAATTGTACAATAAACTGTAAGGGTATAATGGAAACTTTAAAAGCATCAAATAGATGATAAATGATATCAAACATAGTGGATTATTTTACTTAACTTAGATTTTAATGTTTGTAACATGAACAAAACAAGGCATTTGTATGCAGAAACCTACATTATCATAAACATATTTGCTAAAACAGGAAGCATAAATTGTGGTTCAATTTAGTAATGTCTGCTGGTATGCTTGAATGTTTCTTTGTGATTAAATGTGAACAATTGCTCCTTTAAGGTAAAGGTCTGTGTATATGTGATTAATCAGATTGAAATGAAAGTGCAGACAGCTCATGGCATGCCTAGTTATCAGAATGATTGATTTTAGTCTGCGCTTCTAGGTGAAAAAATATCTGTTAATAACCCCAGCAGCCAAACCCCTGATGTCACTGATAGCTCAATGATTTTGTGCACATTCTGCATTATCGAGCTCATTTGCACGTAGAGGGTCTACACAGTGATCCATTGGATCACAAAATTGTAACATGAAAAAAAGTGACATCCAGACTTATGCAAGAGTTATGACTGCAAAGTGCATTTCATCAGTGAGAAGTTTAAAATTGCTGCTGTTGTAGCTGTCACAGGCTTGTTATTTTCTTTGGTTTGTGTGTAGGCAAGGCTGTCAAGCTTTTATCACGCAAACGGGTGTTTTCGTGTACCGTAGCTCTCTGCCTGCTGGTGACAGCCAGTCTCTGAACCGAGTTGTTATTAAGTCTTCAGCTTTAAGATAGTGCTTTACCAACTTGGTTGAATTACACTTGATCATAAATACCTGAATGTTTTACTGGATATAAAAGGTTCAGAGCAAAATATGAAAGCAGATGTGCAGTAAGTATTAGTGGATTGCTGGTGAGGACTTTGCTCTTCATCACCACAAAGGAAATGGTGTCATACTCCGCAGGCTCAATTCTGGGTCCTCTCAAAATGAAGGACTAAGGTTAGCAGGAAACTTCTCATGTAAAACTTCAGTGTCATCTCCATCCTCTAACCCCTGATTTTCCGGTCCTAGCCACGATATTGTCCAATTGTCAACCGCTCCAGCCCTGGGCCCTTCTGCCAAGAGATTTGTTCTGTCTCACAGCTACCAAGCTGTTTGTTTCTGGATGCATGTTGATACAAAATATGTAGGGGAATTTATTTGGCACCAACTCTCTTGCAGATTAAAATTTTTTCTCTTGTACCCACAAGTATTTTTGGTGCCTTGCTAAGAGACCAGGAGAAATTGACGAAATCATAAAGCCAAATCTTGGCAGGAGAGCTGTTAGATGTCTTTTATATGATGAAATATCACACCTAACATATTCTACCCTTATGGAAGGAAACGTAATGCTGATCCTTTTCTGATTTTGATTGTTAAGGTATATTGCGAGGTAAAATATGTGGATATAAGGGAAATGTCAAATGCTACAAATAATAGATATAAACCACAATGGATTCATTTACTTAGCTTTATTTATTAGACTTGTAAAAAGAAGGGAGCAATGTATGCAGAAACCATTTCTTAGAAGATTTCATACAGTTGTGTCTGGTACAATACCTAGCCCACAACAGGCACTCTATAAATAGGAGCCATCGTTATTATTATTGATATTACTAATATTATAAGCAAAAAAGGAATATGATTACATGTATATTTATGTGCTGAATGGCCAGATAATGGAGGCCAAAGCAAGACTGCTGGAATAAATGAGAGTTCCTAAAGAAACACACACCCAAGGAGATCGTACCCTCCTTCCAGAGCTTGCCTGTCTATGATCTAAAAGCTTACATCAACCCAAACCTAAATCTCTGGGGCTGTGCTAGCCAATGCAGTAGCCACTAGCTGCGTGTGGTTATTTACATTTAAAATAATTAAAATTCAAGAAAAAGTTCAGTTCCTCAGTGACCCTAGCCACATTCCAAGTGCTCAATAGCCACCTATGGCTAGTGGTTACCATATTAGACAGCGCAGAGAACATTTCTATCATCACTGCCAAGAGTTGTATTAGGCAGTGCTGCTCTAGGGTAGACTCTGCAGAGAATCTGGGATTTGGAACCTGAGGTCTGCAAAATAGAGGAAAAAATGGTGCAATCAACTGAGTGCCAGACCCGTTTGTGGAAATCAGTTATCAAGGAATTGAAGAATAAAATGTGCCATGTGGATGCATTTTGAAGGCCATGGCTCCTCTTGAGTGACTCTCTCATGGCTGGTAGAAATGTGCAGGTAAACAGGGAAAATCATCAGTCACTATTCAGCATCAACTTTCAGCATCCCATGCAGGGAACCATGGGTCCTAAGGAACTGCAGTGGAAGGAAAACCAAACCAACTGAAACTCAAAACGGGATTACCCAAGAGAAAAGCAGTTTGTGACAAAATGAATCTGGAATCATATGGCTCATTAAAAGTGGCCTTTTCAAATACATTGCAACTTGATGGTTTCTTTAATGCACCTGAGTTTAAATCATGCTTAGAAGGCAAGCAAACTCAGTCCTGGTTATTCATTCTTACCTGAGTTCCAAGTTATCCATCACATCCTCATGAATTTTGCTACATTTATTAATGATACTCACTTAATTAATCCCAGGAGAGGCAGGAGCTAACGTCTGTCTTAATCTTGACAATTACTAGAAATGCAACCGATGGCATTGCCTTCAGAATAAGTGACTAGAATTAAATATGTGTGATAGTATGTTGACATTCTGCCACAGAAACAATGTAAAAATATAAGTGACTTTAAAAAGTTTATAGGTTTTTCTCCATAAAAGTTTCTTAGCTTTCTTCATATTTTTTTCAAAGAATTTAAGTCACTTCAGTTAGGGAAAATTGTAGAACCCTACCTTGAAATATTCCACCACATGTAACCTCCTAGGAATTTAAGGACAGAAAATTTTGCTGAACTTCACTGAATTGAAAACTGAAATTGTCACTTATTGGAGAATGCAGTGGGTTGTGTGGTATTGTCAGCATATTAAATCTTGGGTGAAAGTTATAAATATTATTGATTGTTTTTAAGTTAGAGAAGTGTCTGTGCATTCAATATTAATTTTAGTTCACTTTTTAGAAATCAAGAAATATGTTAGAATTGTAATGCTGGTAGGGACCTCAACTGACAATCTTATCATTCCTTTTAGACTCTAAGCCAGGCTTGATAAAAGTGATTTTGGAAGCTTGTTGGGAGAAGGGAAGTGGGACAGTGGAAAGAACACTGTACTGTGGACCCATGTGACCTGTACTCTAGTCCCAACTTTGCCGCAATTTTCCCACAATCCCACAACTTCTTGCTGTCTCAGTTTCCTTACTGATAAAATGGGGAAATGGACAGAATAGTTTCTATAGCACTTTCTAACTATATTAGTTTTCTGTTGCTCCATAATAAATGACCACAGACTTAGTGGCTTAAAACGATACCCATTTAAGGCAAAGGACCTGAATAGATGTTTTTCCAAGAAGACATCCAAATGGACAACAGGTATGTGAGACACTGCTCAACGTCACTGAGCATCAGGAAAATGCAAATCAAAACGACAGTGAGATATCACCTCACACCCATAACAATGGTTTTTATTAAAAAGGCAAGCTGAAACACGCTGGTGAGGATGTGCAGAAAAGGAAATCCTAGTGCATTGTTGGTGGGAATGTAAACTGGTACAGCATTTTGGAAAACAGTATGGCAGTTCCTCAAAAAATTAAAAATTGAGCTACCATATGATCCGGAAATCCCACTCTGGGTATACACCTGAAGGAATTGAAATCAGGATCTCAAAGAGATAGCTGCCCACCCATGTTCATTGCAGTATTATTCACAGTAGCCAAGATATGGAAACAACCTAAGTATTCATCAGTGGATGAACACATAAAGAAGATGTGGTATATGTACAATGAAATATTATTCAGTTGCAAGAAAGAAAGAAATCCTGCCATTTGCGACAACATGGATGGACCTTGAGGTCATTATGCCAAGTAAGAAGAGAAAGGCCAATCTGTATGATATTGCTTATATGTGGGCTCTAAAAAGTCCAAACTCATAAAAACAGAGAGTAGAATGGAGGCTACCAGGGGATAGGGGGGCATTGGGGAGATGTTGTTTAAGGGTACAAACTTGCAACTAGTAGGTAAATAAGTTCTGGAGATCTAATGTACAGCATAATGATTATAGACAACAATACTTTATTATAAACTTCAAAGTTGCTAAGAGAATAGATCTTAATTGTTCTCATCACAAAGAGGAAATGATAATTATGTGACTTGATAGAGGTGTTAGTTAATGCTATGGGGGTAATCACATTGCAATATGTAAATGTATCAAACCAACATGTTGTACACCCTAAACTTCCACAATGGTATATGTCAATTCGATCTCAATTTAAAAATAAATTTGAAAAAACCAATATTCATTTATTATCTCACAGTTCTGTGGGTCAAAAGTCCTAGACGGCTCAACAGGCTACTCTGCTTAGGTTTCCATGAGGCCAAAATCAAGGTGTTGGGTAAGCTGGGCTCTTATCTGCAGACTGGAGAAGGACATACTTCCATGCTCATTCAGGTTGTCAGCAGGATTAGGTTCCTTGTGGTGGTAGGACTGGTTCCCATTTTCATGCTGGCTGTCAGTCAGGGGTCACCCTTAGCTTCTAGAGGCCGCTCGAATTTGACATCATGTACCCTCCTCCATCTTCAAGCCAGCAACAGCATGTTAAATCTTTCTCATGTTTCTAATCTCTCTGACTTCTCCTTCTGTTACCAGCCTGAGAAAACACTCTGCTTTTAAAGGACTTGGCTAATTAGATTGGGCCCACTCAGATAATTTCCCATTTGATTGACTCAAAATCAGCTCATTAGTTGATTAATAACACCTGAAAATTACCTTTTGCCAAGTAATATAACATAATCAGGAGCATAATATCTCATCGTATTCACAGTTGAAGGAATTAGGAA